TTGTTTATTAACAAGATCGATAGAAAAATTAAAACGTTTTAGGTCGTTTAATCCTATTATACCGTCAAAGAATTTATGAAAGTCAAAAAGGATAAAAGATAGGTTGGTATTAGCCTTTAATTCTGGGAAAGCCGTAATATCTGCTTTAAATAGAGTTTCCTTTTCACCAGTTCCTGTTTTAATAATAGTTGGGGAATGATATATTTTTTCATAATAAAATTTTTCTGCAATGGAAGGTCGAAGAATCGAGTGAAAACAACCAGTATCAATTAAAAGTTTAATTGCGGGTTCTTTAATCTGGATGTACGGTAAACTATTATTAATTTCGGTATACATTTCTAATGTCATTTCGTTGAGTCGCATTGGCTCGTTATTGTAAAATTTTGAGAGATTTGATTTTCAATTTCAGGGTGTTCGTCAAAATTTTGAGTGTCATTAAAGTATTCAGATTGATTTGAAAATTCAATTTCAGAGTATTCGTCTTGGTGAATATTTTCATTTTGAAATACCGCAGATGTTTCATCTGTTTGTACCGCGTTACTTTCGTCGATTTGGTATAATTCTTGCGAAATAAAATTTCTAGGGCCAGTAGGTTTGAAATGGTTAATTTGATTATTTTGACGTGGTATAGTATAGTTTGTTCTTGTTGACATAGGTTCGGGTTTATTGTTAGGTACCTGACCTGTCGGTTTAAATACGTTTTTAGGTGGGCCAAAAACTTGCCTATTTGTAGGAAAATTTCTTGGAACTTCGCGTGGTTGAGGCATATTAATTGGACCTCTGGGAAAACTATTAGTCTGGGGAGTAAACTGATTTTGATCATGCCTAATTCTAAAATTTTGATTATGGTGATTATTGTTTTGAAAATAATTTGTAGGGCGAATCGGTTGTACATAATTAAAATTTTGGTTACTAAAATAATTTGGATTTTGTGAAAATTGTTTAACGGGTTCGATAGAAGTATTAGGTAAAACTTTTGATTGAATTGGAGTTCTGAAGATATTTTGTGTATATTGAAAATTTTCCTCTTCAATAATTTGGGTCATAGCTAATTCTATACAGCTCGGATTTTTAAGTCTTATAATACTTTGTAATTGTCCTGGTAATCCTCTAATAAACGTCCTTAAACAAATTTGATCGTATTGACGTAAATGAATTACTTTGCTTGCATTATCCATAGTATCGGCAGGAAATGCATTAATTTTTTGAGCAAGGATACTTCTTAAAACTTGTAATCTTTTCCCAAAATCTAAAGGATGTTCATTTTTAAAGGGGGTGGCCATAAACAAATCCTGTTCTAAACATTCTAAATTTCGTCTATCGCCAAAACAATTTAACAAAGCTACTTTAATATTGTCCCACGTTACTAACTCCATTCTACAGCCTACTAGAATTTGTGCGCGATCAACAAGTTTCATTCTTATAGTTCTTAACAAATATTGTTTTAAAATTTCGTCGTTTCCTTGACCATATGTATCAAAAAGGAAATCTCCAGCTGATAGAAAACTATTTAAAGTGTTGGAATCACCATTATATGGCAGAATACTATCTATAAACATTTTTAACAAAGTGTAATTTACACCTGAATTCGACGATTGATTAGAATTCATTTTCAAATTGATTTGACTGTTCTCTACTTTCTGTTCCACTAAATTTAACGAAGTAAAAAAAACGCACTTAAATTGTCGACGTCTTTATCTTCGTTCATAAATTTAATTGATTTTGAAATTTCTTAAAATTGAACTTAAAACTAAGAATCCTTAAAATTATTTCCACCGTCCTAACCAGGGAAGATGAAAGGAGAACAATAGGAATTTTGGGCACTAACCTTGATTTCTCTTAGTCGTCAGCCTATTCTTCCTATTGGAATTTTCCTTGCGTAGCACTGCTTGCGGGGGTGATTTCTTGCCTTCCTTGCCCTCAGTCGAACTCAATCACGTTGGGTTTGTCAGACAGTCTATCACAGGTTCGTTTTGGAGTTTAAGGGTTGAAACCCACGTTTCGCAATCAAATCGTCCCGATGACGTGGCTTTGACCGAAAACTACCCCAAATCCGTCACGACTGCGCCAGTTAAGGTTTTCAAACGAAGGATCTCGTTTTTAAAAAACACTTTTTATTTTACAAACAGAACTACGAGGTTTTCTTTAACCCGCTACAAGGAGAACTGGACGCAAAGCACAGAGTTGTTATATATATAAAGTTTTTATGCAAGCGTCGCGTCGCAGATACCGGATATACTGAAACTAGCATTTCATCAGCATTTTCTATCACATAATTGACCTATAAACTTTTATTTTTAACAATTTTTCAAAAATGTACAGGTGCGCCGCAAATTCAAAAAAACTGAAAATTGGTCACAGTATTATTGAAAATTGGTTATAACTGAAAAACTATGATTCAGATCTCACTTTCTTTTATATTGCTATATAGCCCGCGTAGACAGCAAAAACTTTTGAATTTAATGTTTTCACCTATTATACAGGGTGTTCCAGATATTCCGTGCTAAATGAGAAATGTGTTAAGTGTCCTAAATTTACAGATATTAACTTCAAATTTAGCAGAGAACTAAAAGTCCGCGTCCACATTTAAACGGTAGAAATTGAGCGCAATCAAAATTTACCAAGTATTTTTTAAAAATGTTGACGGTAATTTCAGCTTCCAGAAAAATATGTTTTCCGTTGATCCGATTGGCAAAATTGTTTAACCGGCAGACGCAGAAGATCCAGTGCAATAACTGCGCAAATCAAAAATCCTAAAAAATATGGCTAATAGGTTCAAGCAGTGTTATAGGCCGCATCAAGAGCTACAATTTTTGTACCGCATACGCTGCTCGGGATACGTGAAAACATCCATATTGAAATCGCCATTTCGGGGCTGGCAAAACTCGATGACGTCATTGATTATTACGGCGCAGTGCATGGTTTCAGAAAAAACATTTTCTCGAAAACCATTTACTATTTTTTAAAAATTCTTGAACCAGGGCGCGTAGAAAATCCAGGGCAATAACCTCTGCTTCGAACATTGATTGTATCATATACAGGGTGTGTCGTTTATGGGCAAAAATTCTAAAATATCTTAAAAATTTCGGTTTTTGTGGGTAAATTATTGGCGACAAATGAACAATCGTAAAAGATGGGATAATTTTATTAGAACGGCATCGTAAACCTTGTCGTGAGAGAGTTTCAGGTTTCGTCAATTATACAGGGCGCGAGGTATTTGCAAAAATATCATTCGAAAACGCTATTATTTGTGCAAATTTTAATATGTACCGATGTTTGCTGTAACTTTGAAGTTCTAGATGTGAAGGACATTGTTAACAGGCTGCATAGAAAAACAATGCGTCCCTTGACCACACGAAACGGCGAAGTCCTTTCCTCTTATAATAAAAAGCTGCTTCGCGCTACGCGCTACGAACTTGCCCCGCCCAGTAACGATTTTTCGAAAGCAATCTTGTTTCCACATTGCAGGAAAATATCAGGACAAACCACATTCATTAATTCTGTGGGCCAACAAGGTTGCAATAGAGTATTATTAATAATGTTGGGCAAGGTATTATAAGGGGTTCTAAAAAAATTATTAATAGCATCTACATTATTAGGACAATTGGGAAGAGTTTTTCTTTTTATTACATATTTTAATATTTAAGTTTCATTAGATCAAAATTAAAACAAATTGTTAATAAGATTAATTAGTCTCCACCAACTGATCTGCGACCGAGTTAGTGATTTGGTGCCCTTCGAAGTAATTGTAAAAAAAGTAATAAATAATAATGTTTTATTTATTTTATTTTTATATATTATTTTAGGGTAGGATAAAGATATTAAGATGGGGTTTTCGCTAAATTGTTGAGTTCTTATTTTACTTTATAATGATATAATCAAAAGTGATACCGTCGCATCTACTCTTTTCTCAGAAAATATTAAGTCGGACCCAACTAATCGGTAAGCAATCACAATCGCCTCATAAAACAATTGACAGCATAAGAAAGATCCTTGACTTCAAGACAATCAAAATGCGTTAAGCCTTTTTAGAGACGGGGACCGCTATGCTTGCAGATATTAGAACAAATATGCAAATATTACTTTAACTATGGTTAATATTAACAGTTCTTGTAGAAACTGAGTTTCAAAATTCAAGAAACAATTGCAACTCTTTGTAGTCATTTCAAAAATTCATTTTCTTTTGGTCGATTTACTAATTTTTTTAATTTCTAAGACCATCTGTTGTCTTAATACCATACGCCGCCACCTTTATTGGGACACTCGGTATGTAAGGATAATATACAACTAGATAGACAGGGCTGAAATTCTGATCATATTACAATGTCATCATTATTTATTTGTAGATAAATCAAATTTATCTTCATTGGGTGAATTTCTACGTGCCCCCAGAAAATTAAAATCCTCTTAAGTGTAATCGACGAATTTACAATAGCTTGACAGGTCGTTTTCATATCATTTATTTAAATTGAAGCAATTCCTACATATTAGCAAACATAATTTAGACCATATGTTAACATCACGTTCAAAGATCGTATCAACAAATATGGCGACGCTTGCTCATTTGTCATTGACACGCTAACAAGTCCGAAATGTTCCGGGCTTCGATCTTCAAATCCATAGCACCCAACTTTGACGGACGAAAGGTAAAAATATGTTTTACATTGGTAGGTCTACAACTGATACGATTTTCAGAAGCGGCTCAGAAAAGTTCTCGTGTCGCGAGAATCTTTTTCGATGTGTGAGCCCGTGTGTAAGATGTTCCGACTCTTTGGACTCTGCCCCGTAGAGTTCGTACCCGACGACGAAGGCTACGAGATTAAATTTTCGTTACTCTTTCTGATCCATAGCTACGCACTCGCTGTGTTCTACGGTTGGTATTTAAGTTTCAAAAATGCAAGTTGTGAGATTAATCTGCATTAAGATTTGCTTTTCCAGCTGCGGCGGTTTGTCACAGAATAAAAATGATTTGGGACATTTCTTGCCGTACCTACGTGAGTATGGAAGACATAGATCTGCTGAATTGGATCGCGGTTCTGGTGGCGGCGCCTTACGGTGCGTTCCACACACCACGACGGGCCAGATTCGTGGCCAAATTGGTAAACCTATGGGCCAAAGTAAGTTGTAAAGTTAGGGTCCTGCATTAGTGTGTGGGGCATTCATAACGTCCTTATGTACTGGGTTATTGACATCCACCTGCAGGGTTAATTTTGAAAGATAGAAAAAAATATAAATACAAAACTTTGATGATTTTTACTCTATTATCTTATGCAAATGTCAAAAAAAACAAACGGCCGTCTCGAGCTGTCAAAATGAAAGCCACGTCATTTTTTTAAAATATAATGGCCTATATATCATAGATCTCCTTTTCCTGATTTCAAAAACATATAGTTTATTAACATTTCATTTAGTCGTTTATGAGATATTTCAGTTTAAATATCCTTCAAGAAACGCATTAACGAACATAAGAGAGCGTTTAAAAACAATAGTCTAGATTCTAATTATGCGACATACTTAAATACAGAAAAACACATTTTTAACGACAATTTTGATATTGTATATACGACAATAAATTGAGCAAAATGTTTTTTGCACTATTAACATAGACTTTTTCTCTGAAAGGTCCTTGTTGACTTTCTACTCGTCTATTTCAGTTATTATAATAATATGTTTTTTTCATAAAATTATCTATCTTACGAATGTATTGAAGCTCTCCATAATTTTAGAGATATTTACCAAAAACCATAAACACCCTGTATAAAATAGGATAAACAAGTTTATTGTTAGACCCCTGACATTACTGTTCACACTATTTAGCTGGAGCCAAGCGGATCTAAAAAGATTTTTTTCGATTTTTGTTTCCAGCGAGCCAAATGAAATTTTAATCTTTTTTTATTTATCCCTCCAAATAAAAAATATTTTGGCACATAAGAGAGGACACCGAAAAGAACACTAAATGTGTCAGAAATACAGGGTGTGTCAATTAAAGATATCTGCTTTTGTATTACTTTTTTTTTCTACTGTTGTAAAAAAGGATGCTATCAATGCTTATGAAACTGCTTAGATATTATTCAACATTCTACAACCCTGCGCTAGCGAACACAATGTCTTGTCTTGTAGATAGACAAAGTGAACCCGGTAACGAAATACAAAGAGCATCGGCGATACTCCGTGAAACTTCTCCTGGTAGCTTTTCTTGTTTTGTTGTTAATCTTCGCCATTGGTCTTTCGATTAACTTTAAAGCAATGTCATTAGAAATGATCTTTGGAACTTGGAACATTACTATACTCAACTGTGTTTTGCTGGGACATAGCCTGTTACAAGGGCATCTCGTGCTCTCTATAGGCGTCAGGTTAACTGCTTTAAACGACAGCTTGCTCGGTGAAGCGGAAAAATTAAGTATTGTTCCGGAGACTGATTCGATTGTCCACTACGAATATTTTCGTCGTCAATCCGCTGCTGGAAAAGTGCTGAAACTGCTGAAAGCATACAAATACGTTCAGGAACTGGCCACCATTTACAACGAAGGATTTTCGTCGGAGAGGCTCGTAAGTTGCACCTTAGTGCGTTTCCTTTCTCTTAAGATTTTCTTATGGACTTCATTTTTTAAGTTACTTTTATAGTAAAATAAATTAAAAATGTTAAACAATAGGTAGGTATACTATTTTGTAATATTGTATACCACTTGATTAATTTCTAGGTGACTATATCGAGTTTGCTAATTCATTTGGTACTGGTTCCTTTTATGATTCGCTTTGAAACGCGAGTTAAGCAACAGTCAATCGCCCTGAGTCTACTTGTCGTTTTCCTCCATATCTATAGGCTGCTATTAGCTATAGAACCGTGCTATATGTGCTACAGGGAGGTGGGTTATAATTTTTTTTATATAGTCTGTTGATAGATATAAGAAAGTAAATATACAATGCAACAAGATTATTACCTAAAGTTTGGGAATTGAAATTCAGGTAAAATTGTGGTCCGCAATAGAAAATAATTTTATACCTATCTGTGTTTAATATTGTTTGGTTTGGTATACTACTTAGTTTCAGTTGATTAGTAATCATTCGTATTTCGTGTGTAATACAGGGTGTGTTGAATCGTGTGCGAATTATGCAAAATATGTACGAGTCTAGTGCATCTCAAGAGATGCTCCAGCCCAAATATAGAAAACACTATTCTATTGAGACTAAGGAAGTTATAAACAAAGTTTATTTGACTGTCATTGAACGTGGTGCCAGCAAGCAAACATCTTTAGAAGAAACGGCCACATTGACGAAAATTCCAACATCAACTGTATGGAAAATTGTGAATAATCCCACTTCAGTGAGGAAAAAAAGAAGAGATGCTGACATTTTCTCGAGTGTAGATGAAAGTGATCAAGATATAATACAGCGTAAAATCTACCAGTTCTACGAGGAACAAAGCGTGCCTATATTAGGAGGCTTGAAAAAGACGATACCGGTGTTAAATGTGGCAGAACTACCTTATGCAAGTGTATTCAACACATGGGTTTTAGATTTAAAAAAATTGACAAAAGGCAAGTTTTAATGCAATCTTAATCTTAATCTTGAAATTAGGATTTACAGAGAACAACAAAGGCCAATTATGTCCTTGGATGAAACCTGGTTTGACACTTATGATACTTTGAAAAAGGGTTGGGTTGACTCAACTGATAAGTGTAAAACAAACGCGCCATCAAAAAGAGGTTAAAGAATAACTATTTTGCATGCTGGCTCTAAAGATGTTTGGATTCCAAATGGAGTTTCTTTGTCTGCGAATAATATTAAAGATTCTTCTCTGGTTTGGTTGGTTTAAAAACAAACTAGTTCCAAACATTCCTCCTAATAGCTTCATTGTAATGGACAATGCAAGTTATCATAGTAGACTAAAACCCCTTCCTCATGTGACACAAAAGCAGAAATCCAAAACTACATGTATAATAACGACATTTATTTTCACGAAGATTATACCAAAAAGCAATTAACTGAGGTTCTACAAAGCTTGAACCTGCAAAAGGAATACGTCTGTGATAATTATAAAAAAAAAATCTCGGGCATACAGTTTTAAGGCTTCCACCTGACCGCTGTATATTTCATCCCATTGAACATTTTTGGCACCAACTGAAATCTGCCATTCGTCGTAACAATGTTTTTCTCCGTATTAACTCCAATGTCCCTCCACAAAGTTAGGCAAATTCTGTTAAACATATAGTAATATTGAACAAATAATAATTAGAATAGTGAATAGTGATACTGATATATTATGTGAATAATTTTAAGTAATTTAAGTAGATAATAATAATAATTTGTAATTTTATTTTTTGATTTAAACATAAGTACATACATAAATAAATATTGTTTAGTATCTTTCCTAACAAAACCCCAAATAATTAAATTTTAAGCAAAGTACGGACCTGTTCGGCCATATTTCGTTCTTACAGCTTGCCCGAGTATTTCCTTAATTCGTATCAGTCAGTCACTTTCTTATATCTATGAACAGACTTTACCTACCCGATTTTAAAAGTCAGGTTTTCAGACCTTGCGAATAAGAACAATTATTTTCGGTATGCTGACGTCGGATATCGACCAAGTCACCAGAAAGCGGGTATACATGTTTGAGTGCTCATGCTACCTTAGTTCACAATTAAAAGTCACTCCTCCGTCAATGGCGGAAACACACAAGACATTGGTATAGAACTAGAATTAACTTTAACATGAATTTGGATTTTGAATTGACGCTGTAGAACTGTTAAAATCTATTTATTCTCCTTTGCGTACTTCGCCATCACTACCGAGGAACGAGAAAGGGGCGGAGCTTGGAGTGACCATTTTTTTTCTGGTTTTATTCGGTGCTAGGGAGTAATTGACAATCTTTTTAGCTGTTGGATTTCACGGATACATTGGCGACATACGAAATTACTTTCGATGCCCTCGGATTTTTTGTTATCGACAGGCACTTGTTCGTCTCGGTAAGCGTTTTCCTCTAATACGCTGTGTGACACAGAAATTGCAACACCCATGAAACGTTAATATATTTGATTAAAGTTTTGGGAGGTATGTGGGACCAATATAAATAACAGTCGACGCCACTTTTAAATAAATTTATGGATAGAAATTCAGCAGTGAGTTGCGGTCCAAGTAAATTTTGACGCTGTTATTATTTTTGATGAGATGGTCTACAACGTAGACCGTGTGCCAAATAAAACGATCCACTATACGATTTCGAAATCCATAGGAGGTACGAAAAAAAGTGCCGCAAAACAATTTTTTGGACTCTCCTAAAGGTTTCAAATATCGTTATTTTTTCATACAGGGTGTCCCAAAAGTATCCTCCCCGACGTCAACTTTGTTATTTTAAATGAAACACGGTTAAAATAATAAAAGACTCCTCAAAATCGAAAAATTTTCGGTTAGTTTCGGCGATATCTGGAAGAACCGAAAATTTTGTTAAATTTTTCTTTATTTAGTTAAAGAAAATGTTAAAAACAAATGAAACTTTCTCATTACAATCAGATATTAAGGTTTACGTATGCCGTTTAGGTTATGTGTGCCGATCATCAACTTCATTTTTTGAAGTACAGTCCCGATTTTTTTTTATATTTTCAAAGTGCTCGTCATTAATTATTTACAAAAAAATACCGGGCATAGGCATTATTATCCCTTGACGTATTTATTTAATATTTTTATTTATAATTATACTTTGTTAACAAATTATTACAGTTTTTGTTTTTATTTAATTATTAATGTTTTGTTATTGCAAATCGTCAAAATAAAAACAACTGAAAACTCGAGAAGAACACAGTTATTAAATTAATATTGAGAAGATTCAGTCTAGAATCATAAAAGGTGTTTAAATTGAAAGCAACCTGCTTCAATGCAGTTTGCGATAAGCCTTCGCAATTTTAGTATTTGACGTTGAATAAACCAAGCAGCAATAGCTCCGAACTAAAAAAGCACTAAACGATTTTTTAAACACTCCACGAGAAGTAATCCGGTGGATTTATATCAGGATTTATTTCAGTCCAGCATAAGCGTAGAATAGGTCTACGACTTCCTATACACTATTAGGTTTCATTTCATTTTTTAGAATGACGAGCTCGATAAAAATTTTAAATAAAAAATGCAAGTCTGACGATGATGGGCACACAAAACGGAAGCGTCATACTTAAAACTTGATAATGCTAATTTGCTAACTTCTATACCACTCACAAAGTGTTTTTGGGAGGGCATTTGAGTTATTTCTCCATGCAAATGTATGCAAATGGCAGTTGTTTTTGAAGATATAAACTGACTTAACATGAAGTGCAGACGCAAAATACAGTGAAAACTCCCTACAGCGAAACTCTGTATAGCGTAGAAAGAAGAAAATTTGTTGAACAATTAGGTCTCCATATAAATCTAAAAAAGGGCACATCAGGTAACAAAATAAGGAATGTAGGCCCCCTTGTAATTAATAGAGTCTGTTACATTCTCAGAATTCCTTACCATAATGAAAAAAAATTATCTCTAGATGATAAAGTTGCTTTAAGAAAAGTGACGTGGGACGTTGGTACGAAGTTACACCGTCGACTGTATCCACAAAAGTGCAGGGAAAAATAATTCAGGCTGAAGCGGCAGGCAGTTCTAGTAAAAAAACTAAGAAAGCCAAAATTTGAAGATTTGGATAGGGCAATGATGCAGTGGTTTCAACAGCCACGGTTTTTGAAAATGTACCACTCTCTGGACCTATCGTAAAACTAAAAGCAGAAAAGTTTGCTGCACAGTTTGGCATTATCGATTTCTCGGAAGGATGGTTTCGGGAAGTTCAAAGAGAGACTTATGGACAAATAAGTGATGACAGAAACGTCACTAACGTTTGGCTGGAGAAGACGTGGCCAAAACTAACAGAAAAGTACCCTGCTGACAACATTTTGAATGCTGACGAAACTGGACGAAAGATAAAACTCTTAAATTTTGAAGCGAAAAGTGTGTGGGTGGAAGACTTTATGGTGGAAGAAACTTTATTAGTAAGCTTGGAAAGAGGTGACAGCAGAAACAATTCAACACTCCTATCGTCATGTAAGACTTATTACCGAAACAGAATATCAACAGGACTTGGAAGAATTGATGAGCGACTAAGCGAGTGGATAAAGCAGTTTCAAACAACAATTACGTTTACAAGTGAGGAGTTGCAAGATTTTATGTTGATAGATCAGGATTTGCCTACAACAGCAGACTTGATAGAGGAAGCCATATTACAACAAGCGAGAAAGGGTGAGGAAGAGCACCAAGAGGAAGAAGAAGATGAAGAAGTTGATCTGAGATCATCACTAACCATTCAACAACCCCTATATTCGGTTAAGCTGCTAGAGAAATTTTTTATGTATCATGGGGAAGATGGCTCTCTCGAAGAAATGTTAAAAATTCAAGCCAAAGTACGACATGTTAAAATATGTATATTAAATAATTAAATAAGTCTTTATAACGAAAACTACAGCGGAAAAAAAGCAGTCTTTTCAAGTACGCTATATAGAGTTTCGACTGTAATTTCAGTTAAAAATCCATGATATCTCTATAGAGAGATGGAGGTTCGTGCTGATATTATACATAACACCTCCACTACACAGAACAGTAATTTTTGGAATAAGCTGTTCATATAATGTCTCTGCCTTGCATAATTGTATCCCTGACGGGCTAAAAAAATTTTTCCACATCAAGATTCAGTTTTTTTCAGTTTCAGCTGGTAACACTAACATTACTTGATATACGTATAATTGTTGCGTTATACGTGTTGCTTCTTAAGTAGAAGACCAACTCTTCTTTATTTTTAAACATAAAGATGAGATGTACAGTTCAAATATAGAAGATACCTTGGTTGCTGATTTAAGTAATTGCTACGCGTATGTGATCTAATGGATGCTATTTTTTGGTCCGAATAAATAACATTTATTATTATTATATATATTTGAATATTATTTAATTAAGGCCATCCAAAAATTGAAAAGAAAATTCCGATTTTCGGTTTTTAAGCACTCTGCCTGTTTTAGCATTTCGACCAATCCTGTTTCCAGCTCAGTATCTCACTTAAATCGCAATTACAGGTCTTCTTACAGGAGACGGTTAACCGATCTTTTCAATAAGTAAATGGCATTAAGCAAATTTTAGAAGAAATATAATAAAACCTGCTTATTTTCGGAAAATTAAAAAAAAGAAGCAATGAATCAGCATTACAAATGCTGTGAAGCATATACTGGGGTTGCATTTTCATGGCATATACGTCTATGACTAATGACTAATTTTTTCGTCCTTTTAGATCGGTAGAGTAGTCACTATGTATTTAGTGGCTTTATTCCAATTGAAATAATGTGCGTGATCTCTTTATCAAACCAAAACTCCGCATTTCTTGTTACTCAGCACGAAGAATGAAGAAATTTTTATTAGAATAGATAGGTCAGTAGTTTTGGTTAGTTCAAGTTATATCAATTGATACCCTAGTAGCTTTAAACACAGATTATTTTTTAAAATTGTTGCACGAAATTGTTGTTTTCAATAAAGAAATACGCACGTAAAGAAAATATCCGATATATCAATTTAATGCCCGCTTCAGAATATAATCGCTTGCAATAGCTTTAACGACATTTAAAAGCTCCGATCGAAAACAAATTCACGGCGGTGCAGCGACACGTCATTTTCGTCGAAAAATCGGACGAAAACAATCAACCCCACTTTCATTAGAGAATCGAGTGGACCGATAACATCGGTAAACATATTTTGATTGTGACCGATGACTCCTGCAACGAACGTTCAGTAAACAGCGTCGTTGCAGCCGCTCCTGCGAAAAGAATATTTCGTACTCAAAGCAACATGGTTTGGTATATTCCGAAACAGGTACCTACTTCCTTTCCACGTCTTACGCCGTCTCTAAAGGTTGGGGCACAAAAAAACGCTAGTATATTCGGCAACCCTATAAATACTGCTGCCTCAAAAGTTGAGAGAAGCGTTTGGTGCCTAGTGAAAGTTGTCCAATTTTGCGCAAAAATTCTGCGTTTCAGCTTTGTCGCGCAACGCTTTCGGAGGAGAACTATAGGGCACTTCAGCCTTTTGTCGTCACGTGCAGACTGTTTTGCCTATGTCCGATAAAGTTCGAGAAGGTGGGCAACCAGTACCAACCCAAATGGTCGCCGTGGTACTTGCTTTACAGTTATTTCCTCGTCATAATCCTGTGTAAGTACAATAGATAACACTGGTCCGCAAAAAAACAATTGTCCTTATTTCTTTTATGCATGATTTCATTATATTTTGTGCTCTAAATTGAATTGAATTAAATGTCCCTTTAATTCAAAAGCGATATTATTAAAGTAACATCGATTATAAAAAATTAAAAATATATTACGGTCTTACAAGTTTTACAAGTTATAAAAGTATCAGTAAATTTATCTCAATATGGCGATAAAATACAAGTTACTTTGTAGTTTTTTTCTTTTCGTCGTCTCCATCGGAGTTTCTCATCGAATCGACCAACAGAAGTCAGCAAGCATTGCTGCTGACCTAATGAAACATCTCACCATGCTCATCTGACCCGGCACCGAGATTTTCAGGAAAGAAATCTACATGGGAGACCAAAAAATGAATTTTAAGTGGCACATTTTTGTTTTGTTTTTCTTGTCTTGTGCGAAAACAGGAGACTCTTATACTCTTATCCAACAAATTCCACTGTTGTAATATTGATTGTGCTTTAGTTTTTGATAGCCCCAACCCTAACAAGATCATTTAACTCACATTGGTGAAGTAAATGAGGCTCTTTTGATGGCGTTCTATAACCTAAAATTTTCAAATTACTGTTTTATATTTATTGGCTTTGTTCATGAAAAAATACATGAACTGCACGTAAATACTTAACAAAACTATAGGGAATATGAACTTTATGCAAAACTTATCAAAATATTTGCAAGTTCTCAACTAACTGTTGTAAAATCACGGCGAATACTGTCCAAGTGTATATGTACTACCACAAAAATCACATTCGCTACTTTCCTTCTTTATCTTACAACTCGCTCAAACCTATTTTGTATGTATATGCACTGTTTATGATGTTAACGCATAAAATGAATAAAAAAAACCTAAACTTATGATATTTAGAAAAATCTAGACCAGTGTAACCAAAACCTTGTTCCTCGCATAATACCTGAATCCTTGCAGCCATCTTTACCTTGGTGGGGCTCTCCGAAGACGTAAAGGCCGGTTCAAGCGCCATCCGCATGAAAGACACGAAGACCATCTACATCACAGTCTGTGATTTCAGCACTGTAATAATCATAGACGTCTTGGGGATAATTTCCATCCCGTACAAGATGAGACACCTCTGTAAACTGCTGCAACTGTGGAACGACGTAATCGAAATGGCTCTTGTCGCATTCCCATAGTCGCTTTGGTATCTTCCAGATCGACGCAACTGTTCCCATAAACGACTACAAGAAGCACAGGAGACGATCCGTAATTTTACCGGCTGCAGTGTTAATCGGTACTACAGCGCTATTCGGCTACGACATATTCGTCTACACGGTCGTAGCCACCTGCACCAAATGCTTATTTCAGAATTTCGGGGTGTATTACTTCCTGTACTTCATTATCTTCTTCCAGGAGGTATTCATAGCGCACCTGCTCTATTTCATCTACATCCGAATCGAAGATCTCAACAGGTGCATCTTGATCGAGAAGAAAAACATAAACGTGGCCACGCGAAAGGTGTTCCTAGTGTCTTATATCGATCCAGAAGACGCCGTGAGGAAAGATATCGACTCAAACCAAACAGCCCGCATAATGGAACTGATTAAAATTTACCAAAAAATTCGCAAATCCGTGTCCGTTTGGAGTGGTGGTAAGTCAGAGGAACTAACCAAGATTTGTTGGTTGGTGACCCGTGAATGATTCCAGCTGCTTCTTTTAAGTTGCCTCATCCATTTGGTGGTGACGCCGTACTTTTTGGTGTTGGAGATAATTCAAAGAGACAACACCCTTTTTGTGGTTCTCTACGTTGTATGGATACTCGCCCACATTGCGAGACTGCTGATGATCGTCGAACCCTGTCACAAATGTCTTAAAGCGGTTTGGCAAATAGGGCGTTTTTGCTACCATCAATAAACTTTTGTTTCAGGTAAATGTAACCAAAGCCCTGATGTGCGATATGATGATGCTCGATGTGGGTAAAGAAGTGAACAAAGCGGTAAGTTGCAGCGCAAGATGAGCCTAAAGATTAACGAGCCCTCTTTCGTAGGTCAAGATTTTCATGGAGCATTTGTCCGTATGCGATATCAGCTTCGAAGCTTGCGGGTTCTTCTACATCAGTAGGAATATGCTGACTACGGTACGGTAGGATGGAAGCGGATTGACTCGATTGATGGATTTTTAATTTCCAGATTTCCGGAGCGGTGGCAACTTATTTGGTCATTTTATTTCAATTTAATTACGCATGTTAGGATGCGGTTTTATGTAATTGATTGAAATTAAGCTATTGAGATATTCAATCCGATCAACAATTTTGAAATTGTTACACTGTGTAGAATTATACGAATAAACCGTATTGAAACGTATTTTTATTGGACTCTAATTTACATGCATATTTAAAAATACTAATGCTTTAAGCATTGTTAACGTGTCGACATTTGATAAGGCCGGATTGCAATTTATAATAAAAAGAGGAGTGGTTGCGTTTGTATGTAGTTATTTATATCGGCTAAATAGAAATAATTCTGCCGGAGGAGCAGTTGGAAATTTTGCAAAGTACAATAGTAACCAGCCGCCTAATGAGAGTCTTTCCGGTATCTTTTCTTAAAATTGGTACCCGTTACTAGCTAAAATATTCTTTATCTTGATTTCCAATCTGCCACGATCATAATCACCGTGATGACGATGATATCAGCTTGCGGCCCTGACATCTTTGCCTTCTTTCAGCCGTGAAGGTTGACTAAAACCTAATTTCGTCGGTATTGTCATCTTGCATTTGGAATTTTTCATAAAGATCAGACTCGATTCGTTGTACAAGCGTTTAATCATCATCATCATCGAACAGTCTTCTGCGCCCACCTCTGGACATAGGCGTTCGTTGGTGACGTCCGTTCTTTTCTGCCTTGTTTCGGATGTAATTTGTTGGTGGTCTCCCTCTGTTTTATCTATCGGATCCAGCTATCCATTCGAATTACCGTTTTGCTAAGCTGCCTGCATGCGACCCACATGTCTTAGCCTAGTTCTTATTTTTATCTACCAATTCAGCGTCGGAGTTTTCAATAATTAGGTTGTTGCTAGAGACTAGGTTTGTCATAAATTTTATAAAAGCTCTAGAAGTTCTTGCAACATTACCCTAATATGGTCGAAGTTATCAGTCAGTAAAACAATTACTTCTGCAAATCGTAGGTTTGATAGATTTTTGCAGTGTAAGTCTAAGACACGTATTCTAGGATGGTGATAAACTGTTTTGGAGACATCTGGCATACTCCTCTTTCAATCTTTATATATCTTTATATATCTTTATATATTGCAAATTAGTTTAGTATATCCATAGTCAATAAGGCATGCTTTTAGGGACTGTAATACTGCGTACAGCTCCACACTGCCCAAGACTTTATGGAAGTCCACCCGAACCCACTTCAGAAACTAGCTTGTTCTACTGGCTGGAAAAATCACAACTTCTTTCAAGTCAAGATTAGTATTACGAAGGCGTAGTATTAGTTTTTATATTGAAGAGGCAAAGGTTGATTTTTTTTCATCTTTTTCACGACTAGCTTAATCTCATCTACTGATATTTCTTAAAGGGCTAACTGCACCTTTTTTACAGGTTTGCATCTCTGATTCTGGGTGTATATTTCTATTACTTTGGCTTTTATATAGCAGTCCGTAAAACTCTTCTACTTGTTGTTGTCTATGGTCTATCTTTCTTAATTTGTCTTCAGATGTTTATTTTTTGGACTTTTTGATGATTGATGGGTGTCGATCTTAGGCTTCAGTTATTTCTGATAATAAATAAATACTAAATAACACCACCACCATCATCAGGCGTTTGATGGAAGAGAGGAAATACCTCAGCAGTCAGATAAGCTTCATCTTCTTCGTGTTCGTTCCGAAGGTTAGAAATCATCAAACTTTCGAGACTGATGTTGTGAACAGCATGTCGTCTCCTTCCCACTGATCTTTTTCCACTTATTTTTCCTTGCATTATGTATCTTATGTATAGCAGTATCCTTATTTTATTAGTCATTACAACTGCCGCTCTCTTTTTTTTCCCATCGTACTTCTATCGTATTTCTTTAGCTTCCAAGATTCCATGCCATAGTTAACGTTCATAACATCTGGCAAACATCTCAATTTGGCAAGACTGTTCAACGACATCTTGTGGGGCGTTGGCGAGGATCGTCATATACGTGACGCTGAGAGTATAGCTTCAGACTTCATATATCCTGTTAATCTCAGAGGAATGAAGAACTTTTCACCAACATTCAGTTCGTTTGGCTTATTGCCTACATATTGACGCCGTTGCTGCTTATCGAACCATATGCTAATACGGCCAGGACAGCTGTGAGGCTGGCGAGTTGCGGGCTCTGGAGGGAGGGAACCTTCAATCGAGGTCCGTACGATATTTTAGAGGGCTATCGCGGGGATCGCGGGGTCATGCGCATGATCCCCGAGATGACCTTCTTTGACACTCTTCCCATCCAGCGAAGAGTGGAGAGAGGGCAGAGTCGGCGCATGGGATGAACTTTTCTGCTACACGGACGGGTCCAGAATGGGAGATCTGGCCGGAGCTGGAGCGTACTGCGAGACAACGGGATCGAGCTTGTCGGTCCCTATGGGTTTCAGGCGGAAATTTTCGCTTTATTGATGGCGGCCAGAGAGGTGCTTCGGCTCAACCATGGAAGCAGGAGGGTCTTCTTCTGCTCGGATAGTAGGGCTGCACTTATTTCGCTGAAGTCAGTGCGTACGCGCTCCTTGTTGATAAAGGAATGCAAAGGGGTACTGAGGAGAGTGGCTGAGGAGAGGAAGGTCACGTTGGTCTGGGTCCCGGGTCACACCGGTATCCGGGGCAATAAGGCAGCGGACGCCTTAGCCAGAGAGGGCTCCTCGAATAGGCATATAGGATCAGAGCCCCGCTTGGGGATTGCCCCGTGTGTGAGGCGGGGAGCTCTCGAAGCCTGGGCGAGAGACCGGGCCGCGGAGGGCTGGAGAGTTGCTTCGGGAATGAGGCAGGCGGGGCTTATGATGGATGGGCCCGCCCTCCCTTGGACCAGGGAGCTGCTTAGACTGACCAGAAGGGAGTGTAGAGCACTAACAGGGGCCTATACAGGACATTGCAGGCTTAGGAGGCATCTTTGCTTGCTAGGCATTGGAGACGGCCCTCTAGATCGGTCTGGGGGCACAACGGGCCCATCTGGTGGCCTAAGTGCTTGGATGCCGGCGAGGGCGCCCCCTTTAATACCAATACCAATACCAATGCTAATATTGTCACTTGGCCAGCTGAGCTTCTATACATTAACTTTATTTTACTGATCAACAGTTCGGTGTCCTCCAATGTAGCAGTAAACGATTGTTTGAAGGTCGCTGGAGTTGTTTCGACTTTTTTGGTTATGATTTTACATGTAGGAGCCCTTCGCCATTTGTTTACCTTTGCACTCATCGATCACATCAATTGGAAATTAATCAAATGGATAATTAGTGTCTGAAGCGATATCATCTGCCAATACGTGCTGCCAACGCATTAGTTTAAACTACCGATCGTTACTTGTCTGGCAACTTTTGTCGATGTTAGAGACCAACTTCGAAATGCTAGAGATAGCGCTTACAAAACAACAATACATGATGATAGCGCCCATTTTGTCCATCACTCGTCTGTTTGGAATATGCCCACTGGTACCCGTTATAACGGAACACCGCTACATTCTCAAATGGTCCCGTTTTTACGTTATTTACAGCCATATCTTGATAATCCTCATGCGTGTGTAACTTTTGCTACAGCCCATGTTTCATGACATCCACCCTCATTTTTTAGTGGTTATCCTCATCGTCGGCTGCGTAACAGACTGGACCGACGACGAACACGCCTTACGGTTTAAAAAGTCCAAAATACTGTACATCGTAATTGGTGATATCGGCACTGTGATATTCATTACCAAATACATTTTGATCTCCATCCGATCAAGGTGCACCCGTTTAATCAAACTGATCAGCCTGTGGATTCAGGTGACCATATGCGTTACATAACTAATTGAAAGTTTTATCGTATTATTTTAGATCGATACTTCTCTATCCTTCACGAGCCATAAATATTACAGTGGACTGTCCTTGCGGATTATTACTCTAGTAGTCCTTGCGGTACTATCAATGTTCGCGTTTGACATCGGAGTGACTCTAATGAACGGCAGTATCGATGCGGAAGTCTTTTTCTCTCGTTTGGGGGTGTACTATATTATATACTTGATGTTCTACCTCCTGGAGCTGTTTGTATGGCACGCTGTGTCGTTTACGCACATTAGATTGATTTCTCTCAACAAGTGCCTTTTAAATCTGAAACGATATCTCGTCACCAATTCCCAAAATAAATTCCTTCGTCTCAAAAGACAGCAGCGGAATGACTCGCGATTGGCCAGAAGACTACTGACCCTGATTAAAACGTACGGACAGATTAGAGAGTGCGCTGTAATTTTAAATTCCTCTTTCGGAGTGTTCTTATTGCTCCTATCATTTTTGGTACATTTGGTGGGAACCCTTTACGTGTTGATCCGGGCATTACACCTCCAAGAACATTGGCTTCCGATATTCCTACAATTAGTATGGGCGATGGTTCACGCAACCGCCTGTATGGTGATTATAGAACCATGCCACCGATGTTTGAGCACAGTATGATTAAAGATGTTTTCACGCTCAGTTACTGAAATCATTATTTTAGGCCAGGAAGACCAAGGAATTGGTGTGCTCGCTTTTGCAGCTGGAAATTGACGGGAAAACCAGAAAATTGGTGAATCGGTTCCGACCTTTTGAGTAAGCGAGTTGAATTTTTTTTGTTTTCAGGTCGAAGCGTTCAAGACCTACGTGACGTTTTGCACTATCAAATTTGAAGGATGTGGATACTTTACCATTAATAGGGGTCTTATGGCATCGGTAATTTTACCATGAAAATATTCTGAAGAATGCTCAATACTCTATTAAAAATTTTAGCTTATCGGGGCCACTTCAACCTACTTGGGGATTCTTCTGCAATTGAATAATGATCCTTAGGTTATTCGGTCACCTCAGGTTCTCAATAGTTCCGCTGCAGGGATGCCAGTAAATAAAATATTAGGCAATACATCAATGTTTAGATGCTTAATACAAATATAGTTCGGGTTGTTATACCCTTCTCTTATGTTATTTCTTTTTCCAGTTACCAAAAGCATTTTAATTGTTTTTTTAAATTTTATGTAATAAATAAAATTTTCATTTTGAGGTCGTTTGCTATATTTAATTTTTCTTCGAATGAAATGAAATGAAATCAAATCAAATTGACAATTTATTTGTGAAATTTGTCAAGGTTCTACTCCCTTCTATAAACATCCAATTATGCACCGATCAAAAGTGCTGACAGTACCCTTTTAATACATTAGCTTCTTTAGCCACGGTCGCACGAAAATTTGGACATTTCCGGTACTTTAGTCACGGGTTTGGAAGGGATCACATGTTCTATTTTGTCAACTTTGACGTTCAATCGGCACTCTATGCATATCTAACGAATATACGTCACGGCGGCCATCATAATAAACGTAATACAACAGTGGAAACCACAGAATATAAAAAAAATAATTTGCTTAGCTGTACATAGCTGGCGCCACTTGAGCTGGATTAATGTAAATAATAATTCTAACATTCAGTAACTCCTTCACTAAGCAATTGCTTCTCTCGTGAAAAAACAAACTCGTGACCAAAGAGTCGTTTGTCCTACGTTATATCAACAGTTATACAATTCGTACCAAGCATAGAACCAAACTATTTTATTATTTAGTAGTATTCTTCCAATGACAAAGACTTTTAGTAGTTTATATTGCATTTGAGATAACGCTATTAATATTATCATATCATCAACTTTTCAAGTCAATCATCAAACGTATTTTTTAAAATCTATATCAAAAGTTTGTAGATTGTAGATGAAAAGTTTTTAGAAGATAAAAGAGTCTGAAGTGTATTTTGAAAATCAAATATAAGGAGGAAGCAATTATTATAAAACGATTTTTTTCCCTAAAAATGCAACAGGGGTAACACAAGCTAATTCCCCAAAAGAAAGAAATAGAAGTTCTGAACTTTGAAGTTGAAGTAGGCTTTGGACAGTGCCACCGTAATAAACAAGATGCCCGATTCTGACGTTGTTTGCTAAATTTTGGTTTAAGCTTTCAACCTTTCAAATTTCAAAGAATCAACGGGAAAGGGGAACTCGGCAACATGCTTCTGGGAACCATTTCAATTTTCTGGTATTGTGTGGCATGTATATGGCATCTAACGTTAGTTCTGGCTAGTTTCGTTAGTGTTTTTACCCATTATTTCATAGTGTTTTCGGCTGTATCTTCTCCGTGTCCTAATATCCCGAAAATGTCTTTTAAGATATTGGTCGTAATATAAATTGCTTGCCATCTTTACATTTTATCTGGCAATCACTTATTGGAAAGACTTAATCAAACCTCGACGTACTAACAACCAAATTCACAATTTGACAACTGTAAGAATGCATTTGTATTACGAAAATTGAGCTTCAAGCAAGATATTACTTTTCGACAATCTGCTATTGAAAAGGGATTTTGATTTTGCCTCTAAAAGAATCCACCGTGAACATGATTAATCAACAATCGACATAGTTTACTTAGACTGCACTTAAACCAAACGTATGTTTCAAAAACTGATAGTATTGACAAACAGTCACTAGCTTCAAACGATCCTTACAAGGACGTGTCAGCTTTCAAAAGTCTAAAAAAGTTTTAAAGCGGCCGATATGAGAAAGGTAAGAGATCTTGCTAGTACCCCGTTATCAAATCGTAGCAATTTCCAGAAAGGATTCGGAGACGTTTTCTTATCCAGAGAATCTGCCAAATTTTGGACTTGTGTCCGATCACGTTTATCAACTTGGGCAAGATGTACAGACTCGAAGTATCGCCCCTTTCGTTGATTCTGAGTTACACCCTAGCGATTATTTACGGTAAACTTTTAAGCAAGCAAGCGATATTGTATCGAGATGTCAATTCTAGCTGTACTTTCTTATGTCCACATCTTCGTGATACGAGAATCGATTGCATCCTCTGACGGTATATACGCCAAACTTAAATATATCGACCTGGGGAAACATGTGGTGGTCTTGTTGTTGATTTTGTACAGCATGGTGCACACGCCAAGCAGGGCAGGGTTCCTCAAGAAATTCTCCCAGATTTGCCTCAAGGTAAAAAGTCGTGCTTCATTTAAACCTACAGGGCTTAAAAAAAAAAGAAATACAGAAGTTGTTTCTAATAAAGTGACCTTTATTTTTTTTGTTTTGCAAATTGTCACTTTTTAATATACAGGGCGGCAAAACAAAGTTACATTTTAAAGTAGATCACCCTACATTTTATTGCATTTTTGGATAGTCCATTCAAACACAAATTCAACGATATATATAAGTATGTCTCTGTGATGCACCGTTTCGAACTTATTCGCGATCATCTTCAGAATTCGGCTTATGTTTAAACCATTATTGTTGGGTTCTTATTAACTTTAAAAAAAAAATTTCCATCTACTATTGTAACGAAAATAATGTTCTTCATTAGGCAATCACCAAAGTTTCGCAAAATGATACTTTTCTCAGTTTTCTTAAAGGGACACCCTGTTTATTATTGTATTTTCGAATATCCACTTTAATGGCAATTTCAATTATATAAGAAAGTACGCGTCTCTGACTTACCGTTTCGGCTCAATTGGCAATTATTTTCCAATAATACATAAATTCTTTTAAATTCATAATTTAAGAATTTTGTAAATAAGGTCCTTAAATGAAAAAAAAAACTTTTTGGTTGAGTCTATTCTGTATAATGTATACGAAAGAGAAAAAAGTTGACCTATTAGAATGTTACATCGCCAATAATAAAAGTCCGGCTCTTGCTCTCAGACAATATAGAGCCAAATTTCTCCATAGGCGATTGCCAGAAAAAAAATATTCGCCAAATACTCCAACAGCTTCGAAGAAATGGCAGTGTTTTAGTGAAAAAAACTAGGAGCCGAACTGTTTCGCATGGAAATATGCAGCTAGATATCTGCATCTGCATTTTGAAAATACTCCAGAGAAGCGCCTTGCCGCCTCAGATGTAGAAGTAGGACGAACCACACTTCAAACATGTTTAAAAATTAACAGTTATTAGCCATTTAAATTCGCAGCAGTACAAAAACTACAACAACAAGATTTTAACTTAAGACTCGAAATTTGCAATACAATGATGGATAGGCATTTTTTAGATAACATATTTCGAAATATAATTTGGACCGATGAATCAATATTTACAACGTCTGCGGTGTTATTTAATGCAAAAAATACGCATTATTGGAATTCAGAAAATAAGAAATGTGTTTTTGAAATAAACAAGCTGGGGCGGAGATCCGTAAAAGTATGGTGCGCAATCTGGAAATCTAGAATTTAAGGACCCATATTTTACTAGCAAAATTTAACATTCGTACCGTATTTAAACTTATTAAGGAACGAAATTCGGTCACTTATACATAATAATATTCCCCAAAGAAAGCATCCAAACTTAATTTACCATCGAAGTGCTGCAATCATTGTTTTTTAAACGAAAATTTCAGAGAGTGGATTGGACAAAAGGGAACCATCTCCTGGCAAGCGATGAGTCCAGATTTGGCCCCGATGGACTTTTTTTTGTGGGGCACATGGAAAGATATGGTTTACAAAGATAAAGCGTCAACACTATCTGAATGAAACAAACTACGTCTCAAATGCAACATACTATTTAGAAATAGCATATACTACTTGTATACTTCAAAACGGCGGACATATTAAAAAACCAATTTAATTAATTTAGTGTTAATTTTTTGTAATCATTTCACGTAGACATTTAAACGTAGAAATAAGTAATTTGCGAAATTTGGCAACATCTGTTTATAATTGCTATCAGTGTGGCTATTGGTTATGTCCGTCCCGTTATAACCTATTTTAATAACTGCGTACCATATTTAGTTAGTTCAGTGATTTTTAGGAAGTATTAATTGGTGAAAGCTACGTGAACAGTCTTCAGTAGTTGAAAGGTATTCAATATTGTGTTTGTGAGTCACGGGAGTCAACTTTTTCCTGTTTTGAGTCGCGCTTCCTGCACGTGCACTGCTCCGAGCTGGGCCACAGTGTGAGTTTACTGTTTACCGTTTATTTTTGAAACAACTATCAAAATGCAGATTGCACGAAATAATAATCCATGCAACAGGTGCGACAGTGTGGCTGGATCTGGTTTAGTCTGTGTGAAATGTGTCGCACAAATCTTGCGTCAAAAAACCGGAACATGTTAGAAATCTCGGTGGTGACAAAATTGACTGTTGCTCCGATATTAAAACAAACGAAAATATCCGTACAAATATAAAGGAGGATAAAGACATCTGAATCTTAAGATTGCACACTTGAAGGAGCTGCTAAAGCAGAAAGATTTAATCATCCAATATCAGGCAACTGCTATCACCGCTTTGCAGGATCAGATTCAATCAGATCACAGTCAACAAAACCAGGCCGTCTAAACCTACCTTTTCAGAAGCAGTTGGCGTAAACAACAGCCTACCTGCGAACGACAATCAGTCAGTACGGCAGAAAAATAAATGTTTTCATGTCACGAAACTACGTCCGGATACAACGACAGAAGATATCCAAGCCTACCTTACTCTAATAGTTAACAACGCTCGTGTGGACAAAATAAATTCAAAATATCTGGAATACTATGGATCATTCAAGGCGACTGTATTTGATTCTGACGCCGCAAAAATTTGGATCCATCCATCTGACCGACCGGGATTCTGATTAATCGTTTTTTCTCCAGTCCCGCGGGGGTACACCCCAACAAGTAGCTGGGACTCTTCCGTGTGGTCCTGGGGCCCTCCGAATATTTGCCCAGAACATGTAGGGCCGGCGAGACAAGATCGATATGTTGTTCCTGTTTCTTATGGATAATCATTTCGATGTGGTATGTATGTCTGAGCATCATGTAAATAGTGAAGACGCTCTAAAAAGTGTAAATCTTGAAAATTTCATCCTGCAGAGTTATTACTGTAGGAAAAGCACCACCAAAGGTGGCTGTATAATATATGTAAAAAATAATATTAAGTGTGAAGCATTAGATCTTGATAAATATTGTGTAGATTTGCACGCCGAATTCTGCGGTATTGTGTTCCTTACGATCGATAGAGTGGTTATAAGTGTTTATCGTTCTGATTCAGTGTGTTTTTAATACCTTTTATAACATACACCCTTTCGGCCAACCACGAATTTTAGATAAACATATGTTTTATTATCTGTCTATCTATATCTACGTGTTCTATTAAATTTTAGATTCCATATAATTTATATGTCATATAATTTATGTATTGTACTGTTATAGTGTATGTCTATTTGCTTTCACGCATGGAATTTTCCTATTTTTCTATCTTAAAACTCTGTTTATACACACTTGTCAGCGTAAATGTTTCTTTTTTTTTGTACTACTGACGCGCCATTTGTTCTAAAGACTTTTTATGTAAAAAATGGCTAAATAAATCTATCTATCTATATATTCAAAAATTCAATAATACATAGGGTGTCCTATTTAAGAAAATAGAGAAAAGCATCATTTTGCGAAACGTGGCAACAGCGCGTATTTTAAGAATATGTTTTAAACTTGACCATTGCCTAAAGAAAAGCATTATTTTTGTAAAAATAATTGATTGAAAAAAGTTTTAAAAGTTAATAAGAAACCCAACAATGATGGTTTAAACATAACCTGAATCGTGAAGATGATCGCCTATGCAAATAAAAAATAAAGGTCATTTTATAAGAAAAAACTTTTATATTCATTTTTTTTTTGTAACGCCCGTACGTTTCGAGATAAGGTATAGGCCCCTCTTAAACGGACCACCCTGTACACAGAAAACAATAAATTAATTGATTTTATTTGTTCAGCTAAGAAATATCTGGAAGAGTCCAGTAGATTTTGCAAAATATTAGTTCTCAGAAAAGTTGTCCCACACTAAAACGAATAATAGTTTTATATCATTTGTTTTATCAAAAACCAAAAGACACCATAGACAAAATTTTTATTTTAAATTTGAAATGTATATGTAATGACTGTGAATCTATTTAAACTGCTCGACCTTAAACCTACAAAGGTATTTTTTTATTTCTCCAAATATTATTCCTTTGGCCTTGACCTTGACCTTAATTTGAAAAATTCCTTAGCTTCGTATTTAAACTTATTATCATTATTTATTTAGAATATTTATTAAATTTGTTTTAGCTAGTTGAGTATTAGTATCCTAGTTAGTACTCCCTAGGTGGTTTTTACTTTAATAATAAAGGAAATTGATATAAGATAGGATTTTATTACAAAATCGATAACGCAAATGTATCTGAATAAGCGTCACAAAAGACATCAACCTCATCGAACTTTGTTTAAATTATTGGATAGAAATCTCGAGTTTGGTTCATTTAAGAAATCTTGTTTTATCAAAATTCACCAAAGAATGAATGAAATTTGTAATAATACTGATTTAATCGTTATTATAACTTTAAATTTTATTGTAAAGTGTTTCATAAATAGTTATATTTGAAATTTGAGCTATTACACATCAGTTACTAGAATTAAATAACCATGTAAGTAGTAATATTTAACATAACATCAATATAAACTCCTTGGCAAAATTAATGTATCATCATATATTTTTTTTCATTGCAGATTGGTTCCTTGACAATCTCATAGTTTTCGCTGATGAAAAAATGTTCTTTTTCGTTTTACACCGGGTAAAATAAAAAAGTGTTTTTCCGATAAACATATAGCAGTTTACAATAAAAGGTAACTCCATCTTTCGCAAACATTTTCTTCTTTGATTTACTTTAATATCTTTGCTGTTGAAGAAGAAAGTACATTTTTGTAGACTTCATAATTATTTGTTACATGTTGTCAAGTAGGCCCTGGAATTTTTTTGGCATTTTAAGCAATTTGTCACAAGATGTTGTGTTTTAATTTTGCAAAGGTCAAATAAAATCCGCCGTACTGATAAAAAACTATTTGGAAACCGCTTATTAAAGAAGAAGCATCAAGAGCTTTAATTTTAATTTTCAATGTGTCATGTTGCTAATGTGCTAGGAAGACATCGTTCGACTATAAGTCGTATGGTTGAACTCTTCGACATCATACAATATCGTATCGAACAATCAGAAGATGTTTAAATGAGGCTGAATGAGAACATTGTTGAGTGTCGATGATTGGAAGACGGTTTTATTTTCTGATGAAACGAGAATTAGTCTCAATTCTTCTGATGGACGTAAAGTTAGTTAGTTAGAGAAGGGTAGGAGAGAAATTTGCAAGTAGCCATATCTCACAAAAAATTTCGTTTGGTGGCTCTGTGATGTTTTGGACAGGAATATGTTTCAACGGACGCACCGAGTTGTTCCTTATACGTATCAAATCAAGCAACGCCGATTATTATCTAACATTGTAATTTGTTCACGGTCACGGTTTAGATTATTAGGTTGCTTATAGGTTTCTATAGACTCTCGAATTTTTCGTTGGTAGATGAATTGATTACATGCAAGAATTTAAGTTTTGTCGAATAACATTTTATATCCGATTTCGTGATTGTGTTCAGAAACTGCTGATGAGTTTGTCTTATTTTTAAGGTTCTTTCATTTCCTGACATTTGAAATGACATTTTGTCTTCGACGGATGGAAGATATTGAGAGATTTTTGCACAAGTGGTAAATATGGTTTTGAGGTTATATTTCTTTAGAACTTTTGATATGTGGTCAGTGATGTTTTGAATGTAAGGAAGGACAACAGTGGCCAGTGTGGGATTGCTTTCGCCCTGATTGCTATTGGATGGTTGTGGTGAAGCATATATTGTGATGGAACGCTTAATATCTTTATTGTGGAAATTATTGGAGAGAAGAGCAGAGGTAATGTGTTTTAATTCTGGGTTCAGTGACTCTGGCTGAGATAGTTTTACGGCTCTGTCAACAAGAGAGTTGGGCTGGATGGTGATGTGACAATGCATTAAGATATAGGTTTGTGTGCATAAGTTTTCTGTAAACACAATGACATAATGTTAGGTCTGATTTTCTAGTGATAAAAATATCTAAGAATGGGAGGTTATTATTAGTTTTTAATTCACTGGTAAAACCTATGTTGGGGTGTATAGACATTTAAACTTGCCACTGTTGTCCTTCCTTACATTCAAAACATCACTGACAACATACCAAAAGTCCTAAAGAAATACAGCGTCGAAACCAGATTTACCACTTGTCCCAAAATCTCTCAACATCTTCGTTCCGTCATATCCAAAATTCCGTTTGTGATGAGTTTACAGCATTCTATGCATACATGTGATAAAAAATACATTAGAGAGACGGGACGAAAAATATCAACTAGGCTCCAAGAACATGAAAGAGCCTTAAGACTAAGACAAATAAACCCACCGGTAGTTGCCGAACACACTCACGAAAGCGATCATAAAATTCTATTCGACAAAATTAAAATTCTGGCATGGAATTCTTCTACTAACGAGAAATCCGCGAGTCTATAGAAATCTATGAGCAACCTAACAATCTTAACAGCGACTCAATGTTTTACCTGTCACCAATATGGGAATCAGTCATCCAAGACGGTGCTTAAGCCGCTCATTTGGCTCCGCCCCATTCAAACAATATATTAGCGGATACAGTTAAGCTCTGAAGAAGTCAACGGGATAGTTGGCGAAACGTCAGCAAGTTTGTTTCACCTAAAACCGACGCAGGAGGAATCCAGAAGTTAAGTAATTAATATATAACTACAAAAATAATAAAATATACCTTAATATAAACTGTGTATTAATAAGTCTTTACTTCTGATTGTAGATCGATCAAGCAGTTCCCCTAACCAATTACCGACAGCACCGCAGATATTGCCTCAAAATTATTATGGCAGGATTTTTGACCACTTTACCCATCATTTTCTTCAACATGGCGGTAATAAGCACAATAGACCCTCGCTCCGTGTTTAAGTCTATCGCCTTCGACGTATTAAATTTAATCTTTTTGTGCCACGGCTATTTGCTGATGCATCTGGTGTTTCTTATACGAATCAGGCTGATGGCGCTTAACGCAAGTCTGCTGGTCGAAACGGAAAGGTTGAAATCTATTTCGGAAATGGTTTGGGTTGTGCCGAATAGAAGCGATAAATCTGCAGTCGATAATATTCTGAAGCTGCTGGGGTCTTACCGGCTGATTCAGAAGCTGGCTCTCACTTACAATAACAGATATTCAGTGGATATGCTGGTAAGTGTTCCAAAACAGAATATCGATCAGCTCGGGACACTGATATTTTTAGCTAATCGTGATGACCAGTGTGGTGTACTTAGTGTTGATTCCTACCAGGTTTCCGGAGCCAAACAAAATTTTAACAATCAGCCGCAGTATCTTAGAATTTCTGGTTCATATGGGTAGACTGTTGATGATAGCTGAGTCGTGTTATCGTTGTAGCAGAGAAGTAATGCTGGTTGGTTGCTTAAAAAGGTGAAACACATTTATTCTTCTAAGCACAGAAGACTAAAACTATCGCACTGGACTTTGGATGTCGACGGCTCTACTAGAGAAGCGGTAAATTGTTGGGGACATTATTGGATGTCGGTGATATATTAGGTTAATTTTCAGTTTTTGGACTTTAGTAAGAAGATACCCACATACGAAATAATATTTTCAGTTTGCGGACTATTTGTACTGAACCGTAAGCGAATCTATAAGCGACTCTGATGCGATGCAGAACTGAAACCGCAGATGATTGATTCAGGTGTTTATGGAATTGGTTTTAAAATGGCAGCGCTAATTGCTACGCAACTCATTTGTTTGCTCAACAACAACGTTTGCATTTCACCTCGTTTTAGTAGTAAAACGAAATCTTCAAAAAGTGTATTCTCCTAGCTTAGTTCACTGTGGTTTATTAAAGCTAATTAAAATAAATACATGTCTCTGACATTCTATGGTAACACGAATAATCCTTTTATATTCATATGTGATCGTACTTTCACTGCCAACCGAATGTGGCAAAATGGGGATCTGCAAAGAAAATTTGTAAAGATGCAAGAAGAATTGTGGAAACTGACACACAAGAATTGTCAAATTGCAACAGGTGAAAAAGGACTACAGAGGAGTTGTTAATATTAACGTCAACTAACCAAAGCTATTTTTATCGTTTTTTGTTTTATTTTTCATTTCTAAAGTAGTCAATGACTATTCAGTTGGATAGGCCCGAAAAATGAAGGGGATCACTCTACACAAATGTACTGGTAATTAGGTTTTTAAAAAGGAAAACGTCTAGAATATAAAATTATAGGTGAAAGCACGTAGATACACGAGTATCCAAAATGATTGGTCTATCGAAACAAGAAAAAAATTAATTACTGAAAGCCGACGAATTATGGAAACTGTTGAAAACCCAGGACGGCAATAAGACCATCAATTATTATCATTATCATTATTTTCTTTATCTTCCATAGAAGAATAAAACGAATAACGTTGACCATCATTGAAACTGCACTGCCGTCAATAACTAATAGTCAATGAAGGACGATACTAGATACTGAAGAACTGAGATTACCTTGAAGAGACTATACGGATCAGCGTACGTATAATTTCGATTGGCGTTTTTTGCTATTCTAAATTAAACAAGCGCCAACATATGTGAAGATTACATTTAAAATGAAAGAAAATATAAAAAGTGTGAAGATGTGATTGGCGATGAACAGTTTGCTTCACTCGAGAAGCTTTCTTTAAAATCAAACTTTTCGATCAGCCCAAATGCAAGATATCTTCAGAAAGGCTCTAGGTGTCGATGGCAAGGTAATAAAAACAAATAGGTAATAGCAGAAAGTCGAATTGATAGCTCTATAAAAAACAATTCAATGAGAAGAGTCTGGCAGAGAGGTGTAGTCTTACCTATTTAATTTAACATCTAAGTTGAGACGATATTTCAGCTTGTCTTGGAAAATGAGACCCTGCTGTTTTTATATATCACTGTTCTTTTTTCTTGAAGTACCCTAGGCCATCGCCCCATACCATACAGTACTACATGTCAGATGTATAGTGTATGTGTGGCTTCTTGGTGTTCATACTAAGGCTCATGTTCTTATTGTAATCGCCGATAATCCTGCGCGTCGTCAGCGTAACGTATGTTGTTGACCCCCACATCATTCACCTTAAGGCCCATTGCTTCCTAAGAGATGTCGTGGGAATGCAAATTGAAGAGAAGTGAGAAGAGAACACACCCTCGCGTGACCTTCTACGTCGAGTCTATTTAGGATTTGAATGAGGTTATGCTGTCGAACTCTTTTTCGTAATTGACGAACCGCAGAATTGAATACAAACTGTGTTGATCCAATGTCGCTTTCGCATTTTACTGAGATTCTGTAGAAGATAATATTAAAGAACATCATCAGGCTGATTATTATGTTGTGGTCCTCACCTGAATTGGTCTTCTTTGGCAAATGAACAAGAAACTGATATTAGCCATTTAGCAGGGAACCCACCTGCATTATTCGATTAAATATCTTCTGAAGAACCGTGACTACACAGGTTAATACAGGTTAATACTACTCCGATTGATTATATCCGATATGCGGTTAAGAGTCCGGACTAAATATAAACATTACCAAAAAAAAACTAACCCTTTAACTGCATTCTCAAATTCTCGACGGTGGCTAAATACATTAATGAGCCTCCATGACATTTCCAAATTGTGCTGCGTAGAATTAATAAGAATAAACTCTACTGAAATATGTTTTCATGGGACTCTAATTTAAATACATATTTATCAACGCTAATGCGTTAGGAATTGTGAACATGTCAACTATTATATGTGATAAGCCTAGAGTGCCATTTATATTAAAACGCGGTGTAGTTAAGTACGTAGGCAGTTACCTCTGTCGAATCGATGGAAATGAATCTCACGGAAGAGCAGTTCGAAATTCTACAACCTATAATAATAACCAGCCGAGTAATGGGAATTTTTCCGGTATCTTTCCTTAAATTTGGTACCCGTTATGAGTTAAAGTACTCTAGAGCCCTGCTATGTTACAGCTACTTTTTGATAATGGCATTAAGTGAGTGCAACTTGATTCTAATTGTCATTATTTCTTTCACCATTTAATGTTTCGTCAGCCGCATTCTTGGTAAGGGGAATGCTAGTTGACTTGACGATCGGAGAGCCCAACATACGTCTAAAGAAGCCCAAAGTGGTCTACTTGGCCTTCTGCGATATAAACTCTGTCGTTTGCGTCGCCTTGTATTCGATGATATCGAACCCCTGCAGGGTGAGAAATTTTTGGAAGCTGCTTAAAATTTGGGCCCGAGTAAGTTGTTCTTTTCCCTGTTCTTATTTGTTTTAGAAAAAATTGTTAAATACAAAAATTATATACAAAGTGATTCATAAATATGGTGGTAACCAAACATATTTTTGTTAAATTTAATATTACTGCATTAGTAGATACTGCCTTTTATAATCATGGTTATTATGGTCAATACGTCATTTTTCGTATATATATTTGACGCCATTTCCGACAGTTGCAATTTTATTATCTCAAAAATTTTATAAAATGGTGCTGTCGTTTATCCAATACTTGTCTTGAAGTTAGTTCGAATCGTTTATACAGGGTGAGTCAAAATGAAAAATATTAATTTTCGCGAAAAAATTAACTGGAGCACCCTGTATAATATATTTACATTAATTATAATATAGATAATATATAATATATAATATAATAATAATAATAATAATAATAATATAATTATAGTATTTGTTTTATCGGAATTTAATTTAAGTTTATATGCAGAGAACCACTGCTCAATCAGGGATAGTGTAGTGACAGCCTTTTTATTTAAATTAGTCAGATATTTCTATATGTCATCCGCATAGGGTATACTGCAAGCAGCATTTGTTGCAAATATCACGTCATTTATGTATATTATAAACCAAAGTGGACCAAGGATGGAACCATGAGGCGCTCCACTAGTAATGTTTAACAAAGTAGACTCCCGATCACTCCAGTCCACATATGGCTTTCTTCCGGTCAAATAAGATTTTAAAAGGGCAAGGATATTTTCACGAATTATGTCGTATTCAAGTTGAGAAAGAAGTATATTAGTATCCACGAGGTCGAATGCCTCGCTGAGGTCGCACATCGTTATTGAAGTCGACAAGCCCTCCTCAAACCCTCAAATGTGTATAATTCACGGATGGTGGACCCACCCGACCGAAAACCAAATTGGGAATCTGTTAATAATTTCCTTCCCGCAAAGTAAGCGATAAGTTTATCTTTTATAATCGACTCAAAAATATCTAAGATATCTAAGTATCCCCTTTTTTATGTAGTGGTTAACACTCAGTATATTTCAAAATAGTTTTAAATCGTTTCTTTTTGTCTCATCTATGACTTTCGTATTTAACTTTTTTCTCTGAAACAAATAATATACTTTGACTCATATTCGGACACCCTGTATTAGATAGACAGTCAACTACCCATCGTCGACTCTAAAGCGTACCGAAGAAAGTCCGTCACTGCTATAGTCACCGTGGTGTTGGTCTCCATGGCTCTGTTTTTGTTCGACGCGCTCATGTCGATATCAGCTAGCGACACCGACATCTTCGTCTTCTTCAGCCGCTACGGCTGTTTCTATATACTCTACTACAACCTGGTTTTCGTCGGGATCTTTGTCTGGCATTTGGCACTGTTCATAAATATCAGATTGGATTCGTTGCACAAGCAACTGATTGACGAGAGGAGATACCTCAGCAGTAAGCTAACGTTTGTAACCTCTCGCAAACATCTTAACTCGGCAAGAAGAATGATAGTGTGGCTCAGTATGTATCGCAAAATTAAGGATTCCGTTGACGTGTTCAACGACAGTCCATCATTTGGGGTGTTAGTAAGTATCGCCTATATAAGTGACACAATATGGATAGCTACGTTTCAGTCTTTGACACTGAGTTGCCTGATTCACCTCACCGTCACTCCCTATTTCCTGTTAATCGAGTTGGCTCAGAGGGGTGACTGGTTGTTTATCAGTGTTCAGCTCGTTTGGCTTGCTGCCCACACGTCGACGCTGTTGTTGCTCATCGAACCATGCCACAGATGTCTCAACGTGGTATTGTGGTCGCTTGAGCCGCTTGGCATTATAAACGCGGACTTTATTTTAGACCCAACTGATCAACAGTTCGGTCTCCTCCCTTCTGATGTTGGACATCGACGAGGAAACAAGAAAAGCCGTCGAGAAGTTTATGACGTACATGGCCCACTGCAGCATTAATTTTAAAGCGAGCGGATTGTTTACGATCAACCGAAATCTTATCACATCCGTAATGTCAAGCTAGTAGTGTAAGAGTAACCTAGCAGTAAACCATCATTTGCAGGTCGCAGGAGTCGTTTCGACTTATTTGGTTATCATTTTGCAGTTCAACAACGTTTCCTAAGATTCCTTCGCAATTCATACCGTACATCGAAATTAGTGACCAGGTGCACACGTTTGATCAAACTGATCAGTTTGTAGACTTAGGTATCGTATTTATCGTATTATTATGGATCGATACTACTCCATCCTTCAAGAGCAGCAAATATTTCACTGTTCTTGATGATTGTTACTCTGGTACCCCTAACTGTACTGCCAATGTCCGCGATTGATATCGGATTGACTCTATGGGACAACAGTATCGATCCGAAAGCCTTTTTCTCGCATTTGGACGTGTACTATATTTTCTGCGCACTATTTCTAATTGAATGTCAATAATTAAGGAGTCCACTTTAAAAAGAAAAACGGCTTAACTTCTCAGATATAGGGTAGTAAAGTTTTGAATAATAAAATATATTCTTCTAATATCTGTAATACCACTTTAGATATTTTAATCAAATTTGGCACACATGTACTATCCATCAATCCACAATGTTTTAAAAATACACCAGTGGCGGGAGTACAGAATTTCACCTGTCTATTTTTCTTAAAATGAAAATTATTGTTATAATTTACAATCATTTCTAAAGAAATTTAATTTATTGATTTATGGTCAGAAGAATATTGGCGTTTTTAAAAGCGGTGTATTCTTGTTGCTCCTTTTATTTTTGACCCATTTGGTGGAAACTCTTTGCATGCCACAGATTCCTGAATTTGGTATGGTTAAAAATGTTTTTAATCACTGTACTTCATAGGTCCGTATAGTTGTTCGAGATTTTGTAACCTTCTAATTTTGCACCCGATTTTTAGGTTTTTTTTTTCTTGCTCCTGTCGAAAATTCAGGCTAATTGCCCTTATAATTAAATCAAAGTAAATGCGTTGTTTATTAGCAACAAAATTTTATGTAAAAAGAATTTAACTAATTGTTACCGTGCGATATTGCGAAATTTTGTGTGTTCCTTGTCATGTCACACTTTACTGAGTAAATGTATTCGTAAATGTTTTGTAAAATTGTACCCAAAAATTAATGTTCGTAGGAAAAACTTCTTTGATAAACATTCACTCCGCCCAACATAAACTCGTGACTAAAGTGTCGTTTATCAAACGTTATACCCATAGGTATATAATGGGTACTGAGCACAGAACCAACTTATTTTATTATTTATTTGCCAAGTTCTTTATTGTGTTAAATTGTTTATTTTTTAATTTCCGGTAATATGATAAATAATTTTAATAGTGTACTTTATCTTGCATTTGGAATAATTTGTGTGAAGTTTAAATTCGTTTTATTCGACCCTAACGCTCTCAGAATTTTCAGAAAAAAAAACTTTTAGAAGTTGGATACTGGAGATATGCGTAAATAACGTAAGTATTGGACAAATACAATGTGGCAAGGACTCGCATCTCTATTATAGCTACAGCAAAGACTAAATGGGAAGAGTTTTAAAGGAATCTTGATGCATTTGATAACCTTCAGATTTGCGATGGGTCAATTCGCCAGTACATCGAAAACGGTTAAATTGGCAGCTGTCAAAATGTGACATTATTCAGATATTTTTTAAGACGTCTCAATGTCTCATGTATCAATCATCTTTGGTTTCCCAACTTAACTTTTATTTTTCTTATTGCTGCTAATTAGAGTTAGGTCTTAATTATTTTATCAGTAGGCTATGATTTATTTGTCCCCCTTTTTCACCAAAAGAAGGTTCTGATTTTGACAATAAATAATTCAAAGTTGTTTCTTAATAAGTAGTACGCTTTCTCTCATTAAAATCATAAACGTAACAAACAAATTGTTGAAATCTGTTGAAAAATTTGATATATCAGCGTTGTACTTGCAGTTACCCAGAAGCTCTGACATTACCTCAACAAGGCATTTGGTAGGGCAGAGTGGGGGGAAACGCGATCGAGGGGTAATGCCGAATTCAATGGTTCTAATATGTTAGAAACAGAGAGCCATATTTTACCTGTCGCCACGCCGGAGATCACATGACGAAAATAAGCACAAGTACAATTTAGATTTAGAAGATCTTAAAATGGCTATTGACAAAAACAACTGTATTTGACCACCTTAAGAAAGAAGTGATAAAACAGCCAAGATCTGGAAGAAAACCTTTATTTTCAGACGATTTATATTTCAGACGATGTCTATTATATCATCAAATGCAGTAAACTCTATTATGGCCTAATAATAAAAAAAATTCGCCTAATCACTTATCAATATGCTGAGAAGAACAAACGTCCTCACAATTTCTACTAGCCGGAAAAGACTGGTACTACAATTTCATGAAAAGCCAGACCTCCCAGCATATCTCTGAGGACTCCTGAGGCGACATCACCGAATCCTATCACTGCATTTAATGAAACTGACGTTAACATTTTTTATGATCATTTGAAGGCCATTCAAAACAAAATTCATATTCGACCTGATAAAACCTTTAACGTCGATGAGACAGGCATAACAACTGTCCGAAGAAATCAGAAAATAGTGGCGGTATAAGGTCAGAAACAAGTTGGTAAGGCAGCGAGTGCTGTGCATTTTTTATATTTAAAAGGAAGCGTATGAATCCACAGTTACTAAAAGGTAGTAACCCTCATATGGTTGGAGCTGTGTTAGACTCTGGGTGGATAAATGAGAACCTATTTGTAGATTGGCAGTACCACTTTATACTATATACAAAGCCTTCAATGGAAGGCCCCGTTTTGCTCATTTTAGATAACCATGAGAGTCATATAAGTCTTGATGCGTTCTCGCTCTGCAGAGATCATGGAATCATAATGCCACCATACACCTCACAGACTCCAACCCTTGGACTTGACATATTTTGACCTTATCAAGACGGAACACAATCAAGATTGTGAGAATAACTTGACAGAGCGATTTGGACTACCGATTACACAATACGACATAGTCGAATTATTGACAAACGTTTTTAATCGTTCCAATAACCTCGAAAAAGCTACATATACCGCAAAATAAACAATAAATCCAACACATAACATTAAGCAATAACAATAGGAAGGAAAGGAAAACAGAAAAAGAGCTAAAGCAGAAGAAATTAAGAAAAAACTGGAAAAATTAAAAAAAAAGAACCCAAACGAAAAAACGGAAATGTGAGAAGATTTTAAAAGAGTATTAAAGAATTTCAACAACATTGAAGATTTTAGTGACTCTAGTTAAAATACGAAAGAAAAAAGAGAGAATGAAAAAGACGAAAAGGAAAATGAAAACTATTTTTCTATTTTTTGAAGTGATAAATGTATAGATCCCCCCATTGAAGACCGGATTATGTGCTACAAATGCAAAAAATGGGCTCACGATAATTGTACTGACGGACAGTCAACATGGCTTTAAATGTGATCAGTTTCGATAATAATGATTTTGTTTTTCTTTCATTATATTGCAATTTATTAAAAAAATATAAATGTTGATTAGTGAATTCGTTGGACAGATAAGAAAACTTAATAATTTAAAAGAAACTCTGTGATTAAATCCCACTGTTTATTTAAGTTTTCCCTCAGGCGTTATTATTTCCCCCACCTTCCTCTATGTCACGATGGCAGCCTCATAAAACCCAATTCAGATAAATTGTAATTAATTTTGGAGCCCTCGAACAACCTAGAAACGGATTCACTGAAAATGAAAATGCGAACGAATTTCATTAAATATATTCGCCTCCTAGATCCCCTGACCTTTCGCCCTGGGATTTCTTCCTCTGGAGTCAAAAAGTTTTGGACACATTTTGAAACATTAACAGTCATCAATTGTCAAAAATGTTTCAACGTTATTTTGCAATTCTGTAAATTAATAATAATAATAATTGCACAAAACATCTGACTTGTTAAGAAGGATTTCTTTAAGTTCATGTTCTATTGAAAATTCAGTGCGTTTATGCGATTCCTTATGTGTTACTTATTAATGTCAATGTCAAATAAATCATTATGTAACTAAGACCTAACTTTATAAAGTGTAATGAAATCTTTTGTGTTCGCTGAATCGTAAATTGTACACTCTTTCCAGAAATCAAAAATTAAATATGGCGCTCATAAGAAAATGAAAGTTAAGGCGGGTTGGGAGATAACGAAATACGATTGAGACATTTTGACAACTGTCAATTTCACTCTTTTGAATTTAATAGAGGTTTTTCACCAATATTTCCCAAAACAATTGACCGATCGTATATCTGAAGCCGATTATCAACTGCGCCAAGTTCCCTGTACCTGTAGCTATAATAGGCTGTATAAAAAAAAAGAATCTAGTACACATTGTATTCTTGAGTGATCATTGATCTTAATCCAACTACAATAAAAGAGTTTGAAGTGAATGTTAAAAATCAAATTTAAGCAGGAAACAAAAGTGAGACAAGAACAATAAATTAAATGCAAAGATAAATATAAAGCGAACTATGATATCCCAAAAAAAAATGTTATGTCCATGCACGGTCAAATTGCAAAAGAGAAAATCTAGATTTTACTATTTTATTTATTAATGGTAAATACACACGTTCAAGCGCATTTCTATGATTAATTAACCATCAACGTAGTTTGCTCAGAATGCACTCAAACCAAACAGTCATTAGCGTCAAACGATCGTTACAAAGATGTTTTATCTTTCAAAGGTGTTTTGATGCGGCCGACATGAGAACCTCTGACGTGTTAAGAAAAAGAGAGGTAATACGCATTTTATTAGAGGTCATTATCACCTTGAAGCGATTTACAGATCCAATTCGGAGGGGTTTTCTTATCTCGAGAAGCTTTTCTAGTGCTCGAGCCCATATGTAGAATCTGTTCAATTGTAGGCCTCTTTCCTTTTAAATTTATCAACTTAGGCAAAAGGTACAGACTGGAGATTTCACCGCTTTTGTTGATCCTGAGTTACGCCCTAGCGGTTACTTACGGTAAACGTTTAAGATAGCACACGACATCGTATGGACATTTGAATTCTAGCTGTGCTGTCGAGTGAGCATGTTCTCATGATACGACAATCAATCGCATTTTCTGAAGATATATACACGACATGTATCGATCTGGTGAAGAATATTATGATTTTGATGTTAGCTTTGTACAGCATGGTGCACACGCCAGGCAGGGCAAGGTTTGTGAAGAAATTTTCGGAGATGTGCTGCAAGGTATAAATTCAACAAATTCAAAAAATAGTTGCAGTATTTAGGATTTAGGAAATTATTTTAAATTTTGTCTTTGGCGGATCGAAGTTGTTGAGAGATTTTTGAATAAGTGGTCATTCTGGTTTTGACGTTATATTTCTTTAGGACTGTGTATATTTGGTCAGTGATATTTTGAATGTAAAGAAGGACAACAGTGGCAAGTGTAGGATTGCTTTCGGCAATTGTAGGATTGCTATTGGAAGGTTGTAGTGAAGTGTATTGTGTGATGGAATGCTTAATATGTGGTATCTCAAACGGAATTTTGTGTTTGCGGGATCGAAGATGAAAAATAATGATTATTTGTCAACTCTCTTTCCCTGTTGCTCTCTGCTCTTCTCTCTAATAATTTCTACAATAAAGATACTAAGCGTTCCATCACAAAATACACTTCACCACAATCCTCCAAAGACAACGAGAACGAAAACAACCCCGCACGTGCCACTGTTCTCCTTCCTTCTATTGAAAACATCAATGATCAGATATCAAAAATTCCATATGAGGTGCCAGGGGTTTACAGAGTTACCAAACTCATCGGCAATTGCCGAACACAATCACAAAACCGCCCATAAAATTGTATTCGATCAAACTAAAATTTTTGGATGTGTTCAGTTCTTCTACCAACGAAAAATCCGAAAATCAGTTGAAATCTATAAGCAACCAAACAATCTTAACCCATATTGTCCCAGTGGTGCGTTAATGCACCACCTATTCTATGATTTTTTTTGTCACAGCCAGGAAATAGTTTTGCACAGAAAACATACATTGGAAATACTATATTGATTATACTTTATTTTTTGAAAATATTTACTGGTGCCACTGGTTTTATCTGCGAAACGAAACTAACCAAAACTTTGTTATTGTAAATCTAGACAAGTCAGCGCATGTAGAATAAACATTAAACAATTAGCGTGTTCTTTAGTATTAGTTTGTGCCTTGTGCAGTGAAAAAGGAGGAGATCTTGATGGATGAGGACAATAACAATGAAAGTCGTAAGTATTATTTGGATTTACGTATTTTTTTTTGTAGCATTTCATTCCTTGT